AAAAAAAAAAAAAAAAGGCGCGTGCTGACGTGGCAGCCGCGCATCGATTACTGAACGACGACGACGGCTGCGACAGGTGAACAAGAAGAGGAGGAGGAGGAGAAGAAGAAGTGGAGGAGGAGAAGAGGAGGAGGACGGGAGGAGGAGGAGAAGAAGAAGAACAAGGAAAGATGGCGAGGAGAAGGAGGAGGAGAAGAGGAGGAGTCGAAGAAGAAGAAAAAGGGGATATGAGGACAAAGAGAAGAGGAGGAGAAGAGGAGGAAAAAAAAAAAGGAGGAGAAGAGGAGGAGGAGAAGAGGCTGGCACTAAACAGAGAGAGAGAGAGAAAGCTTTTGTGTGTGAGAGAGAGAGAGAGAGAGAGAGAGAGAGAGAGAGAGAGAGCACACGCTCACAGATCAATCTATCAATCAATCAATCAATCAATCAATCAATCATTCAATCAATCAATGAATCAAGCAGTCAACCAATCAATCAATGAGTCTATTGATTGATTGATTGATTGATTGACTCATAGATTGATTGATTGATTGTTCGAATGTTTTTTATTTTTTATTTTTTTTTTATTTTTTTTTTTCTGGAGTGCGTGTCCGGTCATGTTCGCCAACACATAACCACACAACGGACGCACGATGCCGCCAGACTTCCCGTGAACTTTTTACTCCCACACCGCGGCGTGATCTAAGTCGCTAGGCACAGAAGTTGCTTGGTCTTTTCTCTGTTTGTTTCGTCCCTTTTTTTATGAGGCGGAGGAGGAGGACGAGAAGGAGGAGAGCAACAGAAGAAGAAAGAAGAAGAAGAAGAAGAAGAAGAAGAAGAAGAAGAAGAATAGGAAAAAAAAAAAAAAAAAAAAGGTCGCGCGTGCTGACGTGGGACCCGCGCGACGACAACCAACATAACGTGGAAGACGACGAGGAGGAGAGGGAGAAGAAGAAGGGGCTTCTATTTCAAGATGACGAGGACAAGAAGAAGAAGAGGAGGAGGAGAAGAAAAGGAGGAGGAGGAGGAGAAGAAAAGGAGGAGGAGAAGGAGAAGAAGAAGAAATAGAAGATGAGGAAAAGAATCGATGGTGAGAAGAAGAAGAAGAAGAGGAGGAGGAGGAGGAGAAAAAAAGGAGGAGGAGGAGGAGAAGAAGAAGAAGAAGTTGATGATGACGAAAGGAGGAGGAGATGAAAAAGATGACGAAGATGACGAGGAGGAGGAGAAGAAGAAGAAGAAGAAGAAGAAGAAGAAGAAGAAGAAGAAGAAGAAGAAGAAGAAGAAGAAGAGGAGGAGAAGAAGAAGTTGATGAGGAGGATGAGATGGCGAGGAGGAGGTCGAGGCGGAGGGAAAGGTGAAGAAGAAGAAGAAGAAGAAGAAGAAGAAGAAAAAGAAGAAGAAGAACAAGAAGAAGAACAAGAAGAACAAGAAGAACAAGAAGACAGAGAAGATTAGAAGAAGAAGAAGAAGGATAAAAAATTTAAAAAAAAGGCGCGTGCTGTCGTGGCAGCCGCGCATCGACTACTGAAC